ACCTGACATTGGAAAACTAGCACCAATGGAACAGTCAACGTCAGTGGAAAAACCACTCAATTGTGTGGCACAACGTGTCATAGAACACTTTACAAATGCACTCCGTGGGAATAAATTAACCGATCTAAGACGTAAAAAAATATATATTTTTTTTATTGCAATATTTGGTTTCACATTAATAGTTCGAGTAATCTCGTTATTTAACGCTGCAACTACACTCGGTAACCTTTGGACCCATTCACGAGATCGTTTTTCTTGGATGAATTCTTTTGCATATTGATATCCAAATAACCGTTCTGCAAGAGTTCGATTAAATCGTTCTACAATTGCCTGATCACGATGTAACGCAGTATGTCCCCGTCGTATTGTAACATTATGAGTTTTCATTGTTGATAGAACAGCACCTTGAAACTCTTTGCCAGGATCAACTTGTAATAGATTTGGCCATCTTAGAGGACCTCGTCGATAAATCCTTTCAAATTTTCAAATACAGAAGCGACTTCAGAAGCTGACTTTGTTTTCAATGGTTCTGCCTGTTTAAATCGACTCGCAATATCAACTACAGTTAGCGCGTATTTGTAACCATGGTCATGTGGTAAAAACAATAAATCAGCCTGATGAACTTCATTGGGTACGGTAACATCAAAATGAGAATAATTAATTTGTTTAGGCGGTGGTAGATAAATTTGCCATATAGCTTGTTTGGATAACCAATCTTCCGCAGTGGACTTTTTCACTTTTGCAGCGTTAGCGAGTTTACTGATTGCTGCTTTACCCTTCCAGTATCCTTTCGGAGAATAATAAATAGATTCCATACTATAAAAACACTAGTGTTTTTAATTACCAGCACCTAACACTAATTTGCCTTTCATAGCTGATTTGACCAACCATGAAGCCAATTTTTCTTTGAAGGATTTATCGGGAATAGCATTTAACGCATGAATTAATTTTACATCCGTGAGATGTCTTTGTTGCAAATTATTACTTTTATATGCAACATCATGAGCATGACATGCCTTATCAATAGCATTTATCGGATACTCACCAGGCCGGGGCTGATTTTGATCATCAAGTCTGATATCTAATCTCGTTCCGGGACCACAGTAACTATATCCTGGAAGGTGTTTTTCTCCGGGGTATTTTGCCCATGGGGTTCCGGGGAGTTTTCCCAATTTGGCTGCGATATCACCTCCGAGTTGCTTTTTTTTCAAAATTTAAATTTTTTTGACCACATGTTACACACTTACCAGTAAGTGCCGATCTGTTATTTTTAGTTGTAATGGTTGTCTGATCGGTTGTATCAGAACGCTGTTTACATTTAACACAATATAAATCCATAATTTATATATAGCGTTATGAATATAATTGATTTTTCAGCGACTAAAAGAAGAGAACCGGTGAAACACCACGCAGCGCTTCCGAATTCTGTCCGTGCCATTATAATCGGACCATCTGGATCGGGTAAAACACAATTGCTGCTTAATTTGATAATGCGATTTATGAAGTGGGATAATTATATTTAGTTGCCCCATCCGTAGATGATCAACGGTGCTATGAAGTGCTAAAAGATTATAATGAAAATGCATCAGAAATTAAAGGTGAAAGTGTAATTGACTTTATTACTGATATTAATGATGCACCATCAGTAGAAGATCTCGATGGAGACAAACAATCTTGTGTACGATGATGTAATGTTAGATAATCAAAAGAACCCTGCTAGAATATTTTCCCGAGGTAGGCATAAAAACACTGATGTGATATATGTCACTCAACGATACACTCAAATTCCAAAAGTGATTCGCGATAACTGCAATATTCTTGCTGTATTCAATGGCGTGGATACACATACGCTACGAAATATTTGGCAGACATGATGTTCCGATATGGACTTCAATGGATTTGTTGTTGTTGTTGTTGTTGTTGTTGTTGTTGGGCTTAACGCCATTTTTCAGCACAAGATAGGCTATTCATGGCGGCCAGTATTAATGGTGGAGGAAGAAACCGGGAAATCACCGGATAGAACCACCGACCCACGAGAAGCTACTGGCAAGCTTTCTCACATATCTACATTAGCCGAATCCTAGACTCGAACACACGCAGACAGAGGTGAGATGGCAGTGATCCGTAACGGACAGCGCTTTAGACCACTCGGCCACTTGGATTTAAAAATTACTTTAGTCATGCTCAGTCAGTCCCATATGGATTTATAACAATAAATTTACACGACCCTCGGTCACGATATCGTATTGGACTTGATCAAATATTCGGTTATTAACCCTGAAATTCTTTTAGCAGCAGGGAGGGTTATGACAACATATTTGCGACGTAGATGATAGCAATTATTGGCAGCAATTTTGAGGGTGGTTATGACAATATATTCACGACAAAATCGCTAAGGCTCCATTTTACAAATGGGGTCTTTATTTTTTTTTTGTGGTTAAAATATGAGATTTCGTAGGAAGGCTCCATTTGGCATTCTGAGGCTTTAATCGATTTTGTCGCAAAATTGTGTAGGGTTCACCCTCCCTGCTGCTCAATTACTAGTGTGGTTCATTTGAAGACTAGTGGCTGAGCTCATTGCTAATTTACAAAGGTAAACAAAATATAGCATGCACTTGGAAACCCTCGAAAACACTCTCCTCACCCCCAAAGATTAGAAAATTTTCAACAGTACGTGTATTAGTATTAGCTCAGGAGTCTGCAGTTTTATCAATAAAGCACGACGAAATTGCAGACTTCTGTGGTATCTGACACAACAAAATTAGCAATATTTTTCTGAGTTAAATGTCTGTTCAAGAGATGAGAAAAAGTATACCTATATTCTCGTTCGTCATTCAATGATTTAACGATTGCTGGATAGGCACCGAGCCCACACGTCATAGACATTTGACAGCTAGACAATGAAATAAGACTGTACTGTCCGTCCTACGAGATGTGCACTACAATGTCTCTGCTCAAAAGCACTTAACAACTGCGCTGGGAAGCAATGGCCAAACCTAAAACGCGCGCCGAAGCAATATTGAGTTAGGTACATTTGACATTATTCCGGATTATTTATTATTATTATTATTATTATTATTATTATTATTATTATTATTATTATTATTATTATTATTGTTATTGTTGTTGTTGTTGTTGTTGTTGTTGTTCATGACCACAAAGATAATTAAAGTTAAAAATATTAACGTTGCACTATTATTAATATAGCAAAATAATTAGGAGATTGTCATCGATTTAGACCCTTTCATCATATTTAAAGATATCACATTTAACATTTAAGAAAATACCCTTTACTTGTTTACTGATTTACCTTAATGAAACTGAAAATTTTCTGATGAAATTGCCTATGATTAATTGCAGTTAGAGTAGCCCTGAGTGGTCGTGTGGTCTAAAGCGCTGTCCGTTACGGATCACTGCCATCTCACCTCTGTCTGCGTGGGTTCGAGTCTAGAATTCGGCGAATGTGGATATGGGTGGCGCTCACCAGCTATTATGTACTTTTGAGAGAGTGATGTATGTAAGGTGAAGTTGTTTGCATTTTAAACATGCACAGTGGAGAGAATGTTGGCATACCTATATACTACTTTCATGTAATGTGGATGAAATTTCTTTGGATATTGTACTTTGGAAATTTTAAATGAGCTTAGGACACTGCGAACTAAAATGACTACTCCCTTGTGCTCCAAAAATCAACCAAAATTTGTCTAAAGTACACTATTCTTGGCAGCTATTAAAATATGGAAAATGAATTTTGCCCAACTAGATAATACCAGCTTTTAAATGTGCAATGACTGAATTACCAAATACATAAAATGTAAAAAAAAGTTATCGGCTCTTTTTTTTACAATTTACCTCTGAAGTTCGAGAAGTGAAAATGAGCAAGTAGAGCTAGCACTTTTTTGAAAGATGCACATCTGGAGTAAGACCAAGCTGTATACTCTCTAACTCATATTACACCCATCAATCATACATCAAAATAAAGGGAATTAAAGGTTCTTTGAACAATATCTAAGATATACAAAGTCTCTTTTAAAAAAAAAACAGTATAACTAGTGAGGAAACCCGGGGAAACTCTTTTTCTTTAAAATTTTAACCCTATGCTAAATACAAAACTGTAGAGCGCCACCTATGTTAGAAAGCTTGCCAGTAGCTTCTCGTGGGTCGGTGGTTCTTTCCGATGATTTCCCGGTTTCTTACTCCACCATTAATACTGGCCGCCATGAATAGCCTATTGTGTGCTGAAAAATGGCGTTAAGCCCAACAACAACAACTGTAGTTAGTTCAAAATCTACATGAAACTGACGCAATGCCTTCTACTAATTATCTGAATGGGAAGTGAATATATAATATATTTCATACTGACAACAACGTTATAGATTTTTTGATTTCATTTGCCATTCCTTTTAAATTGACAATGCATTTCTTCTAGCTTTTCACGCTATAACATAATGTCATCATCATCATCATCATCATCAACAAGAACTATAACAATAACAACAAAACCCTATATGGCAGAAATTTATTACTTTATGCTGTGTCTCCACGTAGATATATATTATTTTATTTGATATTATTTTATTTGTTAATCTCCATATAAATCCTTCATATTACTAATGGCTAGGCTGGCGTTTATATGAGATAATTCATGTCTCATTTAATCCACTATGTTATTGTTTCCTTTCATATTTCTGATCTCTATATGCGTACTGCAGTTTTAAAATAAAAAGTAATGTGTGTGTGTGTGTGTGTGTGTGTGTGTGTGTGTGTGATTTAGATTTTTAACGTAGCTTTAACAATTTTTCAGTCATATCGCTACGATGTCTGCAGTGTGGCAGTTTATAGTGATGTCTAGCACTGGGGCATCATGCCGCAGACATGTAGCATGATGTCCCAACCAATCACATTATCCTGACACCAGGCCGACCATTCCTAACACTAACCTCTTAATGCTGAGCGTCAAGCGAGGCAGCTGTTAGTACCATTTTTATAAGTCTTTGGTATGACTCGACCGGGGATCGAACCCATGACCTCCCGCATCTGTAGGCGGACGCTCTAACCAGTAGGTCACCGGAGCGGTAAAAAGTAAAAAGTAATAAGTAAAGTGCTTGTACTTGTATCTCTGAGTAAAGTGATAGTTGTCAAAATCTAGAAATCACGTGAAGGTTTTCATTGGAAATCAGACTGTCTTAGCAGTTGAACAAATAAAAGCGATATATACAAAGAAAACTAAAGCAAATAATATCATCAGTATAAACAGCAGTAGTAGCAATGGGTTATAGTTCTCATTTACTTTCTCAGACTTCTCTCTGCGGGATTCAGTTTCACGAATTGTTATTTTTGTATGTATTTCATACATTAGTTTATTTTATTCCAAATTGTGCTATTTCTAGCTGAAACTGACCCTCTCTTCCACCCTCCTCATCTTGAACTTACTAACTGTATTTTTATTAGTTTTTAATGCTTCTGTAAGGTATTTACCTCATCAATAAGAACTTCTCTGCTTGGCATCAATACATAAATAAATAATATGCTCTAGGTAATATACTTAATAGGATTTTTGAAATTATGTTCAGGTACATCATACAAAAAAATATTTTTTAAAAATGTCGATATTGTCTGTTTATATATATATATATATATATATATATATATATATATATATATATATATATATATATATATATATATATATATAGACAATATCGACATTTTTTTAAAAAATAATATTTTTTATGATGTCCCTGAACATAATTTCAAAAATCCTTTTAAGTATATTAAACCAAAGTAATATTTGATAGCAATATGCTCGATTACGGTTCAACTTCTTTCGATATAAACCATGGAACTTAAGTTGTATTTTTATTTTCGTGTTAAGAGGCACATAGGGACGCAAAATTTCAGGTATATTCTATGTATCATTTCGATTAAGTAAACATCCTTATCGACAATTACATCAAATTTTATGTTTATCATAGGTTGATAAAGGATTGCTAGAGATTCAAAATAGCGGAGCAAGGTACGCGCACTTTGCATTGAGGGTATTTGCGTACACAATCGTGACGTCTGTGAAAACAACCCATACCATACTGATGTTTATTTTATCATGAACTCAAACTGAAAAAGCAAATGGTAAGAAACTCGTGCTTCTGAGCGCAGTTGCATCGCTTGAAGGGAACGTGGGTAGTTACCTTATATAGGAACCACCTAATGTTAGCGACAAATAAGGAATAAAACTGCTAAATTGAAATATCTAAAAATGAAGAGTCGTTAAATGATATACATTAAGATAATGTGACGTGTATAGATGTGTAAGAAACAAACTATATTTGAGTGGCGCATTTACAAAGAGAAATATATAAATTGGTTCTGAGCATGCATATAAGAATTGATACGGTACTTTATAGCTCAGGCGCATGAATCTTTGATGTAAGTGAAACTACACGAGGTGCACGAAAAGTATGAAATTTGCCGATTTATATTGTGCACAGAATTTCAAATATCCTATTAAATATGTTATCTAGAGCATGGTATTTCATATATGAAGTTGTTTTGGTTCCCAGCGGAGATGTTATCATAGGTGAAATAAATGTCCGTATTTTACATGTTATCGGTTTATTATTAGGAACAATAAATGAATTTATATGCGACAAAAAATATCTTATTTATTTGTCTTTTTTCTGAAGATGTATGAGTATATGAATTCTTTTTTTGTGCAATTTTCTTTCACCATGAAGTATTAGTTCTAGGCACATATGTTTGAAGGGAACCTGCAGTAATGAACAGACTTTGGTCGATTGTTACGTTTCATATCCTCGTGTTACGATTTTTCTCTAAAATAAGGACTAGTCCTTTAATTTACTGTTGGTTAGTGTTAATGATTACTGTAAAAAAATAGTTATGCTCATGTTTATTTTGGTATCAACTTGTTCTGCGAGAGGCAGTGTTAAGAAGGTCGTGGTTCCGAGCGAGGACGCATAGCGTGAAAGTTAGGCACTTTACAAGAAGACATCTATGAAATTCTTCTGCGCTCCGATGCTAGAATTGAGACGGTACTATATAGCATAGGTTCAGAAATCTTTCGTGTAAATTAAACATGTCAAGAACGAACAGTATGAAAGTTGTTGATTTATATGCATCACACATAATTTCAGATATCCTAACTATAATATGATAAAATATATGTGAGGTTATTTTTGTTCCAATCGGGGATTTATTCATTCCTTATTCATTCCTCATATTCTATACGAAGATAATTTGACGCGTACAGATGTGAAGGAACCCCAATATGTATTTCGCAGGCATTTATAAAGAGAATGAAACAAGTTGGTTCTGAGGAAGTATTATAAAATTTAAACGATAGGATGATGTGTAGCAAGTCCAATACATTTTATTTAGGTTCATACAAACACAGATTTAATTTAGTTGTTGATAGGGTGCCAGGAACCATACGGTACTACATAGCAAATGTCCATATATTTTTGAAGGAACATGAAACAAAACATCGTTATAATATTCCTTGATTTCTGTACATTTATAGACTAGAATATATTGATTATTTTGTTGTAGAGAAACATGAATGTAGAAACTGGTGTACAGTACGAATGCAATAATCTGAGCATTATCACATACCTCATTTTAAAAATTACTATTTGAGTATAAGCGCTTCGTGAAATTCAGACTGATCATGGACTCAGAATTTGAATTAACTTAGGTACTATTTTGACTATGCTATAATACCTTTAATATTTTTGGTTTCTGGTGAGAATATTATGATCGCTTATGTAAATGCTCGTATTCCACATATTATAGGTACAGGATTAAATTTTTAAAAAAAACAGTCGTAAATTTGTAATACACTATATGTGTCTTATACTTGACAATTCTTCTGAGATCTATATTTTCGAGACTTATCAAAATTTTTAAACATTCTGAAGCCAGTGGGGTTAGTTATAAATGAGGATGGTATAAGGAAGCCAGTAAAACAACCTATATTCATCCTACTTCTTTGCTCGATATCATACTTTAACCATATTAATCAAGGATTCCAAAAGGTCCCTTAATTTTATCTGAAATTTGTGCAGGCACAATACACTTTATAATGTGCAGAGAGAGAGAGAGAGAGAGAGAGAGAGAGAGAGAGAGAGAGAGAGAGAGAGAGAGAGAGAGAGAGAGAGAGAGAGTATGGGTCACTGTTGATATCATATTTAGTATTAGAAATAAGTTTTTACTTGCTAATGGAAAGTTTAACATAAAAAACGATAGCTCCAAATTGAGATTTCGTATTTTGCAAACAAATTTTCTCAGTAAATGTGTTATGAGGTAAAATTTAAGTATAAAAAGAACATTAGAAGTCTCTCTAAAATGTATTAAAACTAACTCTTCTTTGGACTCATTTTCATTAAATTATATTGGGAATAATTTCCATTGAAATACATGTAGATTAAATTTATTTAATTGAGCTATATTCATTTTGAAATTGTTCTATTACAATTAGTGCAGTTTATATCTGTCTCTATAACCGGTACTGGTTTACCGTTCTGTACATGTATAAACCACTAAGCTTACACTCAGTAGCAAAAATTCTTGACATATTCTCTAAATGAATATGTTGGCTTGGTGGTTAAATCCAAGGTCAGAAATAAAATAGTAAAACATACATAGTTCTATGGGATAAAACCAGTTTATAGCTAGTTGGGAACAAGAATGAAGTCTGAACGTGTGCTAGCCTCCTCACCTCAAAAAACTGCTACCATAAAAGGTTACGAGGTGTCGTGATCTGGCATAAATAGCCCCGGGAGAGGCTAGCAAATCAGTTCGGCTTCTTGCTCCAAACTACAAGAGAACTTACTGTGCTTATTTCAGATCCCGTACACTCGCTAGCCTAGCTTCCCCAAAGGAATGTAGCTGTGTCTACATTACCTGTGTCACACCCCTTTTCTCCTTCTTTTCTATCGTTCTAATGATGGACCCGGCCGCTCATAAGAGATGCGTAATCCCTTCTCACAGCAGGAAATGAGAAGAAGATTATGATAAAAATACCTATCCTGATAACTGTTGGAGAATCATGAAAGATGCATAATTCATTCGCACAGCAGGAATCTGAGAACAACATTATGATCAAAACTCATATCATAATAACCAGTGGAGAAGTCAACTACAGGAACCTACGCCAATTTCACCTGTACTAGTGACTCCAAAAGGTACTCTTTTCATGACGAACTTACTGAAAATTACACCTGTGACTGAAACTATAACATTTTGGGTTCAACCGTTAACTTTGAAAACACCTGAGCATTTTTCTAGGAGTGTCACTATTTGTTGGAAACTGTTGGAGAATAAAGAAAAGAATGAAAGACAAATATAATGAAAGTTGTCACTAAGCAGCGAATGGACAACTCTTCTGTGATTTTCGCACTTTCGCTCACAAGGAAGGGTCCGTCCTAAAATTTCAGCTTTTGAAACATCACAAGGGAATGAATGCAATGTCAACCGAGAGTATTTCAGCATAAGGTACACAAATCGCCGGTGAGAATTCTTCTTGCAGTAACACCTGAAATTACGACATTCCGAATGCATACAGTAGATAGTCCAACCCCGAATTCGACCTATCTACAACCCAGGCTGAATTAGATCTATCCGTGCCATTAACAGAGATTTCATGGGTCCAGCAACGATATTTCCATCAAGCCCCAGGTCAACGACAGCAACATTGAGCTTTCTTTCAAGTGAAAGTGACTTTAAATTGAACATTTTGAACTATTTCAGTATGTCAGACAACACGTGCATTGTTTACTATTTACTAATTCGTTTCATAGGAAAAATATTTATGGACTGGGTAATTCACAAGGTATGTTTTTCCTATAGATCTTATTTTGGTTTTTGAAATACAAATTGCAAAGTTTATGCATTAATTCCAACTATTTTCAAAAAATTAATCTAATTTGTGCTATATTTAATTTTACATTCAGTAGCAGTAACTTTTTATACCTACGTCACAGCTACTATGGCTTCTACTATAGATAGTGTGAATGAATCTAGTGATTGGCATTCCTCAGTCTGTGTTTACATCCAGCC